AGAGAGAGAGAGAGAGAGAGAGAGAGAGAGAGAGAGAGAATTTTTTAATATTTATTTTTTAGTTTTCGGCGGACACAACATCTTTATTTGTATGTGGTGCTGAGGATCGAACCCGGGCTGCACACACGCTGGGCGAGCGCGCTACTGCTTGAGCCACATCCCCAGCCCCTCTCTTCTCCTTTTTTTAAAAAAAGTATTTTTATCTATTTTTTTTTTTTATTTTTTAATGTGGTTCTGAGGATCGAACCCAGTGCCTCATACATGCAAGGCAAGCACTCAACCACTGAGCCACAACCCCAGCCCTAAATATTTATTTTTTAGTTGTAGTTGGACACAATACTTTTATTTTATTTAATAAGTGAATTTCACTTCACCATGCCCTCAGGGTACACCTGGGACTCCCCTTGGGGCACACCTGGAATGCAGCCTTTAAGAGCTTTTTTTTTTTTTCAATATTTATGTTTTAGTTGTAGTTGGACACAATACCTTTATTTTATTTATTTATTTTTATGTGGTGCTGAGGATCAAACCCAGGACTTCTCCTGTTCTGGGCAAGTGCTCCGCTGCTGAGCCACAAAGAGCTTCTTTAATAGTTCTTTGTTCTCACTGATGGGTGGAACCACAGTGTCCAGATAAGAGTCTCCAGTGCTCCTTTGCTAGCAAAGCAATAAGGCTTCTTTTTCCTTTTTCTCAAAACTGTGTCCTCGTTATTAAATTGGCATGAATTGGCATCGGGGACAAGGACCCAGCTTTCGGTAACAAAAGCAGCCAAAGAAAAGTATTAAAAATGATTTCTTATTATCATTGGAGAAACCTGGATGAAAGGTACATGGGAACCATTGGCATACTTTTTGCAACTTCTTGTGAGTCTTAAACTATTTCAAAGTAAAAAGTTATAAGCCAGGCACAATGGCTCACACCTGTAATCCCAGCTGCTGGGGAGGCTGATTCAGGAGGATCAGGAGCTAACCTCAGCCATGGTGAGGCACTAAGCAACTCAGTGACACCCTGTCTCTAAATAAAATACAAAATAGGGCCGGGGATGTGGCTCAGTGGTAGAGTGCCCCTGGGTTCAATCCCCAGTACAAAAGAAAAAGTTATAGTAAAAAGAAAACATGTAAAGGAAAAGATGACTTCTTCAGGTTATAAGCTCAAATAGAATTGAGGCCACCTGGGTGGGCAATAGTCCAAGGTGAGGACACCTACTCCATTTTCAGTGGGCAGCAGCTGCTCACTTTCAGTGTGTTGTTGCCATGTGGGAATGGAGCCCAGTGTTGCAAAATCTTGCAAGTTTTCAATAGAAGCCAAAAATCTGGAATCTGGATTTTTTTTAATATGAAATTTCTCAGTTTGCACAATGAATTCAGAAATGTTTTAACACCATGTAGGCCAAACAAACCATATCTGTGGAAGATCTCAGTTCTATCTACACCTGCTATCAGTTATCCCTCTTGTTCATGTAAAATTTGGGTAGCTCCAATCATAAATTTTATTTTGGTACTGGAGATTGAACTCAAGTGCACTTAACCACTGAGCCACATCACCAGCCCTTTTATATTTTATTTTGAGACTGGGTCGCCTTAGGTTTCTTAAAGTGTTGCTAAGTTGCTGAGGCTGGCTTCAAACCTGCAATCCTTCTGTCTCAGCCTCCTGAGCTGCTGGGATTACAGGGGTACACCACTGTGCCCAGCTCCAATCATAAATTTAAACGAATTACAGGTTTACACTGAAAATGATGTATTTCCAAGGTCATAATAAATTATACTTTTTCTCTAGCTTTAGAGGTAAAGTGGCATGCATGAGAATTCCTTTTCTTATATGGTAACTTGTTTAAGCTTAATGGACTAAGATGTGTACTTTTATGTGTGTATGTATGTGTGTGTGTGTTAATTTCTACATCTGCACAGTTGTCTCTACCAGGATGCCATTTACAATTAACAGTGTTGCTATTTAAGTATTAGAAATCTTATTTCTTGAAAAAAAATTGCAGACTTGAGGATACAGCTCAGTGGTCGAGTGCTTGCCTAGCATGCATAAGGCCTAAATTCCATTTCCAGCACTGTTTTAAAAAAATTATAATAAACTTTATATATAACAAGTGTTTTCTTTTTCTCCTTAGTGATAATTCACAGGTATTCCAAGCTGACACATTAAGAGTGAAAAGAAACAGCACGACATTTATGAGCCAGCATGCCCTGGTAAGAAAATGCTGATACCAGCCTCCTTGTCCAAGACTTAAGCTATTTGCTTGCTCTCTCTCTCTCTCTCTCTCTCTCTCTGTGTGTGTGTGTGTGTGTGTGTGTTGTTGTTGGGGATTGGGCATGCAGTCCAAGCTTACTTGTCTTAACCAGTGGTTCTTAGACTTGAGTGAGCACATGGGGGGCTTGTTAAAACATGGCTGGCTAGGTCTTCCCCCAGAGTTTCTGATTCAGTGAGTCTGGGGCAGAGCCTGAGAATTTACATTTCTAACAAGTTCTTCCTTGAGAAACAGAGCTCTAAGCAGGGCTGGGGCTGTTCAGAAGGCTGAGACAGGAGGATCCAGAGTTCAAAGCGAGCCTCAGCAACTTTGTGAGACCCTAAGAAACTCAGTGAGACCCTGTTTCTAAATAAAATACAAAATAGGGCTGGGGATGTGGCTCAGTGGTGGAGTGCCCCTGAGTTCAATCCCCTGTACTCTCCCACCAAAAAAGAGAAATAGAGTTCTAAACAGTAATGAAGGAAAAATAAGTACATCGAAAACAGTTTTTGCTGCAGGTGAAGCAGAATTAACTTTTGAATTTCATATGGATTTAGCATTAAAGTTTGTTTTTATGCATAAGATCATCTAGCTTCCAGTTTTTGAAGGGCATACTTTTTTGAGAGGAAAATTTGCAGGCTCTCTTAAAAGTAGTTTTCAGCTTTTAATTTGATTTTTTAAAAAATTTGACTTTTAGGGCTGGGGATGTGGCTCAAGCGGTAGCGCGCTCGCCTGGCATGCGTGCGGCCTGGGTTCGATCCTCAAGCACCACATACCAACAAAGATGTTGTGTCCACCGAAAACTAAAATAAATAAATAAATATTAAAATAAAAAAAAAATGACTTTTATCACATTTATCTTGAATTGTAAATGAAATTTGCTATTCATAGTGTTATAATGCAATCTTTAAATTGTAACTGTTTTCTGCTAGTTAAACTTATGAAACATACTTATGATCAGTAAACCAAGGTGACTGAATGATTCATTTTATGAAAATTGTATTGAGGTAAAATTCACATGTAAGGGTCCCGCAAAACGTCGGAGAAAGAGACCACCAAGTGATCACTCATGCAATTGGCAGAAGGGGGATTTATTGAACCAGCATGCTGGGGCTCCGTGCCCACTCAAGAAGGGAAAGCAGCCAGAGCCCCGAGCAGGGGCTGAGCACTGCTTAAGTACACTTTTTGGGGAGGGCGGAAGGCTTTGTATACATCAGAACAAATCATCATGAGGCGCGGGAAAATTGAACAACAACTCCTAAACATGATTAGTTCATTCATTGGCGGGAACAGGTCAGGCTGGAGTGATAGGTCATTCCTAAGGAGGGGGTTACATTTAAACTGATTGGTCCAGGCCCTGCAATGCCTATGTGCAACCACACAGAGCCCTTATTAAACAACCAAATAGTCAGGGGAAATATTTACTGGGCGGTTCTAAGCATTGTCTTAACAGCTACAGAAATTTCGGGTTTTGCAGGTAGCATAGAAACCTAACAATACCTCCTTTACATTTTAACTCAGACCTTTCAGCTTAGAAACTTTTACAACACCCGGTCTTTTACCCTTTAACTTTTACGCTTTAACTTCAATTTCTTTTACCCTTACACACATAACTTTTTTTTTAAAAGAAAGAGAGAGAGAGAGAGAGAGAGAGAGAATTTTTTAATATTTATTTTTTAGTTTTCCGTGGACACAACATCTTTGTTTGTATGTGGTGCTGAGGACCGAACCCGGGCCACACGCATGCCAGGCGAGTGCGCTACTGCTTGAGCCACATCCCCAGCCCAATTCACATAACTTTTTTAAAAATATTTTTTTAGTTGTAGATGGACACAATACTTTGATTTTACTTACATGTCATGCTGAGGATCAAACCCAGTGCTTTCCACATGCAAGGCGAGTGCTCTACCACTGAGCTCCAGCCCCAGCCCCAGCCCTCACATAACATTTAATTAATTGTTTTAAAGTGTACAATTTGCCAGGTGAGGTGACCTAGGCCTGTAATTCCAGCAACTCTGGAGGGTGATGCAGGAGGATAGCAAGTTTGAGGCCAGCCTCAGTAATTTAACAAGACCCTGTCTGAAAATTAAAAAAAATAATAAGAGCTGGGGATGTAGCTCAGTGCTAGAGTTCTATTGGGTTCAATCCCCAGTACTGTTAAAAAATAAATAAAAAGTACAATTCAGCGCATTCACCATGTTGTTCAACCCTCAGCTCTCTTTAGTCTCAGGAAGTGCCCATCCTTGTTTTGTTCCGAGTCCTGGTGGGAAAGCTTTCAGAGTTAATATTCATTGTAATGTTAACTGTGCATTTTGGTAAATTCCCTTTATCATGTTAAGGAAGTTTCCTTTCATTCTTAGTCCCTGAGGGTTTCCATGTTGTAAGGGCTTTTGAGCCTTGGGGGAATGGGTGGTGCAACCCTATAATCCCATTAATTCTGGGAGGTTGAAGCAGAAAGATCACAAATTCAAGGCCAGCGCCAGCAATTTAAGGAGACTCTATCACAAAATCAAAGAATAAAAAGGGCTGGGGTGTAGCTCAGTGCTACTACACTCTTAGATTCAATCCTTGGTACCAAAAACAGAAAAGGCATTGAATTGTCATGAGTGTTTTCTCTAAGCCTTTTGAGATGACCATGTTTTCCCTCTTTGTCCTATTAATATAATGTAGCACTATGATTTTCTTATGTTAAACCTCCCTTGAGTTCCTGGAATGAATCTTTTTGCATCTTTATTTATAAGGGATATTGGTCTGTAGGTTTCTTTTCTGGAGGTATCTTTGCTGGCTTTGGTATCTGGGTAATTGCTGGCTTCAGAATGCATTAGGAAGTGCTTGATTTTTCTTCCCCTGCAGTTTTAAGACTGGAACCCAGGACCTTGCACATGCTAAGTAAGCTATGCACTAACACTGAGATACACCCCAGCCCCAGCCTCTCTAATTTTGGAAGAATTTGAAAAAGATTGGTGTTAGTTCTTCATTTAAATGTTTTATAGTTTATCCATGAAACCATCTAGTCCTGGAAATTCCTTTGTGTGTGTGTGTGTGTGTGGTGCTGGGGATTGAACCCAGGGCCTTGCTCATGCAAGACAAGCACTCTACCAACTGAGCTCTATCCCCAGCCCCTAGTCCTGGAAATTTCTTTATTGAAAGGTTTGTTTGTTTATTTTATTTTATTTAGTTGTAGATGGACACAATACCTTTATTTTATTTATTTATTTTTATGTGGTGCTGAGAATCAAACCCAGTGCCTCACACATACTAGGCAAGCGCTCTACCACTGAGCCACATCCCCAGCCCGGTTGGAAGGTTTTTGACCACAGATTCTATGTCTTATTATAAGTCTGTTGAGATTTTCTATTTCTTCTTGAATCATTTTGGTAATTTGTGTGTTTCTAGGCATTTGTCCATTTTATATAGATTAACTTGTTGTCATACAGTTAATTGTTTATAAATTTCTCTATCACATTAATTTCTTTTTCTTTACATTTTTTTAGTTGTTGATGGACCTTTATTTATTTACTTATTTTATTTATATGTGGTGCTGAAAATCAAACCCAGGGCTTCACACATGCTAGGCAAGTGCTCTACCACTGAGCTACAACCCCAGCCCCCTATCATATGAATTTCTATATGAATCTGTAGAGTGCATTCTACTGAAATGTTATACCTTGAAATAAATTTTAGAGTATACTTCCTGCTGGGTACAATGGTGCAAGCCAGTAATCCCAGTGATTTGGGGTCTGAGGCAGGAGAATTGCAAGTTTGGGGGCAGCCTCAGCAATTTAGCAAGGCCCTTAACAACTTACTGAGATCCTGCCTCAAAATAAGAAATTCAAAGGATTTGTGGTGTGGCTCAGTGGTAAAGTACCTCTGGGTTCAATTCCTAGCATCCCTCCGAAAAATTACATCTTAAGCTTAAAATTAGATGTTTTCATCTTCATAGAATGATATTGAATATTATTTCCACAACTTTTTTTTTTGGTAATGGGAATTGAACCCAGAGGGGCTTAAACACTGAGCCACATCTCTAGCCCTTTTTTTGTGTTTTATTTAGAGACAGGTTCTCACTGAGTTGCTGAGGGCCTCACTAATTTGCTGAGCTTGGCTTTGAACTCCAGATCCTCCTACCTCAGCCTTCTAAGCCACTGGGGTTACAGGCATACACCACCATGCCCAACCTAGTACCTAAAAATTTTTAAATGCATAATATTTCTTAGGAATTTTAGTTTCTTAATTTGCTTATAATTCAGTTTAATATAATGCATACTTAAAATAAGCCATCTTATAAACACATTGTTTTGCAGAATTAAATTCATTTTTACATATTTGGTGATGGGAACATTCATGGCTTATAGGTTTAACTTGCTGTAACAGTGCTATGCATATACCTTTATTTTGTCAAAATATACCATCATCCCTGTTGTGGCCCAGGCCTGTAATCCTAGTGGCTCCTGAGGCTGAGACAGGAGGATCATGCGTTCAAAGAAACCCTCAGCAAAAGCAAGGCCCTAAGCAACTCAGACCATGTCTGTAAATAAAATACAAAATAGATCTGAGGATTAAACCCCCTGCCTCGCATGTGCTAGGCAAGCATTCTACCACTGAACCACAATCTCAGCCCCAGGAATTTTATTTCTAATTTATGTATCTCTATGGTATTTAAATATTTTTCAGAAAGCATGAACAATAAATGTATTTTTTCATTTCTAGCTAACGTATCACATTACAAAGTAGAACTATCATTCCTGAAAAAAATAAAAGCATTGTTGAGTGATATCATAAACTATATATGTGTAAGTGTGTGTGTGTGTATTTTTTTGTTGGGGGTTAGCAGGGATTGAACTCAGGGGAACTTGACCACTGAGCCACATCTCTAGCCCTATTTTGTATTTTATTTAGTGACAGGATCTCACTCAGAATTTCAAGCCCTTGCTGGGACTTTGAAACCATGATCCTTCTACCTCGGCTTCCCAAACTGCTGGGATTACAGGTCTGTGCCACTGTGCTTGGCTCATAAACTTTATATATTTAAGTGTCTTTCCCATCCTGGACTATCCTTAAAATTGGTACTATAGACTCTGGGTTGGTGGTGCACACCTATAATCCCAGTGGTTTAGGAGGCTGAGGCAGGAGGATCACAGGTTCAAAGCCAGCCTCAGCAAAAACGAGGCACTTAGCAATTCAGTGAGACCTTGTTTTTTTTTAAATTACAAAATAGGGCTGGGGATGTAGCTTAGTGGTTGAGGGCCCCTGAGTGCAATCCCCAGTACCCCGCCCCCTGAAAAAAAAATTGGTACTGCAGGTACCTAGAGTGGTCAATTCATAGAGACAGTATATTGGTGATTGCCAGGGCTGGGAGGAGGGAGGAACAGCAGGTATTGTTTAATGGGTATAGAGTTTCGATATTGAAAGATGAAGAGTTCTGGAGATTGGTTGTACAACAGTGTGTACAACACTACTGAACTGTGTACTTAAAAATGGTTACAATGATAAATTTTGTTATGTACAATTGAAGATAAAAAATTGGTCCTGCTTTTCATGCATTTCAATATAGGTAAAACAATGTTTTAGGAAAAAAATCACTGTAACAAATGGCATTGAAGAACCGTGGGTTTTATTTAGCAAACAAATATAAATACGGATGCATATTTCTTATGCATTGTATAATTGTGAGTTATCTCATAATTATTCTGCTTAATAAAGCACAAATATTTTTTTCACTATTTTCAAGAAATTACTGAATCCCACTTCTAGCTAGTAGAAACATGAGGGTCTCTTCTGAATATTGGGACTCTGCCTTCCCTTCAAACCACCACCACCACCCACTTTTTTTTTTTTTTTTTTTTTTTGGTTCTGGGGATTCAGCTCAGGAGCACTGAACCACTGAGCCACATCCCCAGCCCTATTTTGTATTTTGTTTAGAAACAGGGTCTCACTGAGTTGCTTAGTGCCTCCTTTTTGCTGAGGTTGGCTTAGAACTCGATATCCTCCTATTTCAGCCTCCTGAGCTGTTGCAATTATAGGCCTGTGCCACCCTGCCTTGCCCCCGCCCCTTTTCTTTATCTCTTAACTCTGAGTTTGGCATGCCCATTCCCCACCTCTCTGCCAAGAATCTTCTTAGCACCTCTGTTGAATTTGTGTGCAACTGTGGCATTTCTCCATCCTTATCTGCCCCCTGCTGTTCCAAAGGAAGCAGGATAAATGTTTCATCTTCCTATTAGACAAGATTGTGTTTTTCTTTTTGGGGGAGGGTGTTATCAGAGATTGAACTCAGGGGCACTCAACTACTGAGCCACATCCCCAGCACTATTTTGTATATTATTTAGACACAGGGTCTCACTGAGTTGCTTAGCTGAAGTTGGCTTTGAACTTCCGATCCTCCTGTCTCTGCCTCCTGAGTTGCTGGGATTACTGGAGTGCTTTAAATGGTATTTTTCTTGAGCAATTCATCCACTTTAATTTTATAGCTATTGATATTTACCTGATTGGGTTTTACTTTTCACATTGACAGCTACAAACCCTAAATCTAGTTAATGGCTCACCCAGCAGCAAGTGTATAATCCATTCCAGACCTCGCTCTGTCTGTGCTGTGTCTGTTCAGCCTGGACTCAATTCTTGTTAAGTACCATTGGAAACCAACTTAAGTAATTTCTAGAACCAGGTAGACATTTCTAAAGACAGCATACAACTTTTTATTCAGAATTAAGCCTTTTATCTCTAGTAAGGACTAGGAAATGGGTAAAAGCACACCTAGAAAAGTTAAAATTTACTTTTAAAAATTTAGTATCTGTAGAATATTAATTTTCTGTGGTTTCTCTTTTAAATGGAACTAATATTAGTCTTTCTTCCTATCTTAATTACTTCACTTGAGATAAATCCTAGGAATCAGTTTCAGATTCACATAGCACTCATCCCAATCCCTCCTTACAACCCTACTCTCCCCTGCCCCAAACTATGACATCATCCCTTGGTGATGCCATTCCTAGGTGCATACTCTTGCTTCCTTCCAACGCCTTTTTTCCCCTGGAGTAAAAGAGACACGTGAGAAATTAACACAGAAGATACTGGTGAGTTTTAACAACATCTCAGGATACTTTATTTTAATATTTTGTTTTATGTAGAAAAATTATCTGAGGCATTTTATAGAGTGTGCTAAACTATTCTAAACTAATTACAAGACTTCCTGGAAGAGATCGTTTTTCACTGATACCTAAGGGATGGGGAGGACTCAGTTTGGTTTCAGGAAAAGTTTTAGAATTTCCTATTGGAAAACTTTGTCCAGGAAATCACTAGATGATTGCCTGGCTGAAATTATGACATCAACTGTGGTACTTAACTCTTCCAATTAATTGTTTTCTCCATTAATTTTCCACATTATTACTACAAAAAAATCAGACAGTCCAGTATTTGATTCACTTTTTGTCCAGTTAAAAAAATTTGGGGGGCTAGGGTTGTAGCTCAGTTGGTAGAGTGCTTCCCTATCATGTGTGAGGCACTGGGTTTGATCCTCAGCACCACATGAAAATAAAATAAAGGTATTGTGTCCATCTACTATAAAAAAAATTTTAGGGGCCGGGGTTGTTGCTCAGTGGTAGAGCATTTGCCTGGCATGTGTGAGGCACTGGGTTCGATTCTCAGAACCACATATAAATAAAAAATAAATAAATAAAGGTAGATTAAGAACTAAAATAAAGGTAGATTAAGAACTAAAAAATTAAAAATATATATTTAAAAAAACTTTCTATGATTCTGTAGCCCAAGTTCAAATCCAACGCACCCCAGAAAATTCACACTACAGCACCAATGATGTCATAAGCTTTGACATAAGACCTAAAAAGAGAAAGTAGCCTCCCAAAAGAGAAAGGATGTAGATAACAAGTGTCATAGCAATCAAGAGTAAATGTGCTAACTACTTGAAAATGATTGCCTAAAGTCAATTGATATTAATGAAAATTTGGTTTCCCTGCCTGGATTTCAAGGTGTTTGGCGGAGTTGCTTCTTTTATGTTCGTTTTGTAAGTTTGGCAAGTTATCTGCTGATATAAGGACTGTTTCTGCTATTTGTTCCAAGAAAAGCCTTTCACTAAGCTTTAAGGATGGCCTTAAACTGGCAAGAAGAATGAGGTGATTTAAAGCTCTAGTGACTTAGGAAAGGAAAGGTAAAGATAAAATCTTTTCTTTTTGACTTTTTTTTTTTTTTTTTTTTTTTTTGGTTTTGTGATATTAAACCCCGGGTGTTTTACCACTGAGTCACATCCCCAGCCCTTTTTAAATTTTTTTTTGGGGGGACCAGGGATTGAACTAAGGGATACTCGCCCAGTGAGCCATACCCCAGCCCTATTTTGTATTTTATTTAGAGGCAGGGTCTCACTGAGTTGCTTAATGCCTCCCCATGACTGAGGCTGACTTTGAAGTCACAATTTTCCTGTTTCAGCTTCCCAAGACACTGGGATTACAGGCTTCACCACTGGGCCTGGCTTTGGTTTTTATTTTGAGGCAGGATCTCACTAAGTTGCTTAACACCTTACTAGTTCCTGAGGCTGGCCTTGAACTTGGGATCCTCCTGTCTGAGCCTCTGGAGCTGCTGCGATTACACATATGCACCACTAAGCCAGGCTCTGTCCTATATTTGTTATGTTAATAGTTATTTTGTTGGGTTTTGAAATATATTAGACTTTGGTTAGTGTAATTATTTTGGTCAAGATCCAATTGAATATTTTAAAATTTGACCTTAACCAGTACCATTGGTATGAAGTGACCTTTATGCTTTACACATTAGACACTCAATAAATATCTTAGATGATTCAACATTGACTTTGTGTTTAGAAATAACTAATCAGAAATGTTAACACAAGCTTGACTTTTCTATTTTAAATTTCAGTTGTTCCTACCTTCTCCTATTCGTACTTCTGCCAGCCGCTTGCATCAAATAAAACAGGTAAGAAGGCTTTCAAAATTGACAGATGTTCATTAACAAAAGTAAATTTTATTTATTTATTTATTTTTTAAAGATCTGTGTTTCAGTAATTCTAAGCCAGGTCATGTGCAATTAAGTTTCTAATTTTAGGAATGGTTTTGTAAACAAAACAAACTACTAAGTTCTCTATTTATTTGGGCTATTAGTTATTTTAATAAATTGTTAGTTTCTAGAAATACCACATACCCTTATATTTTGAATCTAGTTTCTTCCAAGGATCTCAAAGAAGAAGGTTATATATAAAAATTAAGCTTGTAGCTTCATAATTACCAGTTATGTTTTCTTAAAGCTCTCTGATGAATTTTTTCAAAGACCAGCTAAAGTGGCCTTTATTGTTATTGTTTCACATTCAGTTCTTAGTGAGCTGAGTTTAGGGACACATTGTACCTTACTAGTTTATGTTTTGTGCGTGTTTTGTGTGTATTTATATGTATGTGTATATTTAACAGCACAAGCCAAGTATAGAATTAAACCTTTTAATTATCCAAGGATTATCCACCAAACTCAAAAAGATCAAATCACCACTCCATCACAGGTGGTAGGATTTTTTTTTCTGACCCAGGTACAAGCCGCTTTTTTGCAAGGGGGTGCTTAACTGTTATGAAGCACTTATTCACTTAGCACTATGACCAGTACTTTACATCTGTGATCTGATTTCATCTCACAACTGCCTTACAAGGTCAGAAATGAAAGACAGCAGAACTTATGTACCCAATGTCCATACTTCATGAATGTCAGAGGCAAGATTTAGCCCCCAAATACTGGATTCTTTTTCAGCTCCCCTTTCTCTGTTAGAGTGGCACAAAATCCATAAAGATATTTCGTAAACCTAGTTGTTAGTCCTCTAATTCTTGTATCCTTTTCCTCTTTCCCTCGCCAGTACCATGGCTTTCCCAAGGTCAGGTTACCTTACATTAGCAGGAAAATATGATTAAACCATTTTATTTTAGTTTTTGATACCAGAGATTGAACTCAGAGGCACTCGGCCACTGAGCCACATCCACAGCCCTGTTTTGTGTTTTATTTAGAGACAGGGTCTCACTCAGTTATTAAGGCTGGCTTTGAACTTGTAATTCTCCTGTATTCCCCTTCAGAGCTGCTGGGATTACATGTGTACACCACTGTGCTAGACCCATTTTATATATTTTTTGATACCAGGAACTGAATGCAGAAGCACTTAACCAATGAGCCACATCCCAGACCCCCTTTTTCTTTAGATTTTATTTATAGACAGTGTCTCACTAAGTTGCTGAGGGCCTTGCTAAGTTTCTGAGGCTGCCTTTGAATTTGTGATCCTCTTGCTTCACCCTCCTGAGCCGCAGGGATTATAGGAGTGCACCACTGCACCCAGTCCATTCCTTTAATATGTACTTTCCACTACTTACCTTTGTGTGATGCTATTTTAGAATTTTTTAAAGAATAATATAAACTTCACACCAACAGTAAAAGTGACCTTTGACTTATCTGTGCAATTTGGTTTTTTGCTTCTCCTAAATTAAGCCAAAAATTTGAAAATGGGTTATTTTAAGAAAAATCAGTGCTATTTGAACTGGTTAATAACGCAGATTGTAAAGTAGTTTATTTCCATAGTGCCAGAATATGTATTATAAACATTTAAAGTGAAAAACAAGCAGAAAATTAGTGATGGGAAAATAGATATTACACTAACTTTGAACCTGGGTACTGATTGAATGGAAAATTAAGACTTATTCTCAGTTTAATGGACTGATAGGTGTCTTAAGTTGCTTATTTCTTTATATACATTCTTTAACCATGACTACTACTACTTTGTTGTTGTTGAACTTAAAGTTTTAAGCTTAAAACAGAAATGAGTGGTCCTCTCCCCATTGTATACTAAACTTTCACTTTAACAACATTAATAAGGATATTTATTTCATTTTTCAGTAAAATGGAGGAAATAATAGTAGCCTTGTCAGGATTGTTATGAGGATGAAAGTAATTAATATATGTATAATATAGGGCATACTGCATTAATTTTTATTTTTGGTAGTAGAATAGTGGGGTGCTTAACCACTGAGCCACATTACTAAGTAGAGTAGGGCTTCATTAAGTTGCTGAGGCTGGCTTTGAACTCACAATCCTTCTGCCTCAGCCTGCCAAGTCACTGGGATTACAGGTGTGCACCACTATGCCCTGCTTTGCATGGAAATTTTTGGAGGGAGTACTGAGGATTGAAGTCAGGGGTACTTGTCCACTGAGCCACATCCCCAGCCCTATTTTGTATTTTATTTAGAGACAGGGTCTCACTGAGTTGCTCAGTGCCTCACTTTTGCTGAGGCTGCCTTTGAATTTGTGATCCTCCTGCTTTAGCCTCCTAAGGCACTGAGATTACATGCATGTTGCACAGCACCCAGCTTGCATTAAAATTTTTAATGGAAGTTAAAAAATATATAAACCAGAACCTCTATTTACTCAATACCTAACTTTTAACAATTATCCAAATTTGTAACATAATTTTTCATTTATTTCTATTTTGAGGGGAGTGAAGGGATAATACTTTAAAGTAAATCCCGGACATATCTTTTTGCCTAAATTTATGGGCATGAAAAAGACACTTTGGTACTAGATGCAGTGGTACACACCTCTAATCTCAATGGTTCTGGAGGCTAAGGCAGGAGGATCACAAGTTCAAAGCCATTCTCAGCAACTTAGTGAGGCCCTAAGTAACTTAGCAAGACCCTGTCTCTAAATAAAACATGAAAAGGCGTGAGGATGTGTCTCAAGGGTTAAGTGTCTCTGTGTTCAATAACTAGTACCAGAAACAAAAATAAGAAGAAGAAAAGAAAAAGGCACTTTGGCATAATCACATTGATCATTATGTGTAAGAAATTACACTTAGTGTCGTCTAAGTCCATGTTAGATTTTTTCAGATTCTTAAAAAATGTCATTTTTATTGATTCACAAACAATCCAAACATGACATTTGGTTGATATATCTCTCAGATCTTCTTTATTTAAAACATCCTTTTCTTCCTGTTTTTGTTCACTGCTGTGTTTTTACTGTAGAAACCAGGTCATTTGTCCTGTAGAATGTCCCACATTCTTCTTTTGCTTCCATGTGGTGTTTACATGTGCTTTTATTCCCTGTATTTCCTGTAAACTGATGAAATTTGCTTTTATTTTTAAATAGGCACATAGTCCCAAGTGAATGTTAGGTTATGGGTTAACATTTAAATAATTATATAGTTTAAATTGCAATCTTTCCTACTGGATAGTTAAAAGACAATTTGTTATTTATGTATGTATGTATTTATTTTTTGGTACTGGGGATTGAACTCAGGGGCACTCGCCACTGAGCCACATCCCCAGCCCTATTTTGTATTTTATTTAGAGACAGGGTCTCCCTGAGTTGCTTAGCGCCTTGACATTGCTAAGGCTGGCTTTGAACTCAGTATCTCCCAGTCTACGCAGCCTCTTGAGCAGCTGGGGTTACAGGCATGTGCCACCATGCCCAGCTGGACAATTTCTTGATTGTGATTGTTTGCTGTTTTTCTCATGTTAGAGAGCTTGAAGTTAATTTTCTAAGCACATAGTAGTTCTTCCTTAATGTTTTTGTGATTTTCTTTTCCTAATAACAAGTGATATTTTGTTTCAAGAGATTTGAAAGCATCCTCTGTAGTTCTCTATCTCCCAAAATATTAAACATGAGTAAATGCTCTGCAGAAATAATTTGTGTATGAGTTTTCTCAGGCTGCTGTAACAAAGTACTACAAACTGTGTATCTTAAACAATAGGAATGTGTTTTACCTCACTGTTCTGGGGGCCAGAAGTTTGAAATCAAGGTGTTCCAGAATTGATTCCTTATGAAGGAGGTGAAGGAGAGATCTGTTCCAGGCCTCTCTCCTTGGCTTGTGGATGGCTGTCTTCACATTCATATGAAGACATACTGTACAACCACTTGGCAACTAAAATCTTTCAGGCATAGTCTCCCTCAGAGAACAAAAGTTGGTTTCTGGTTTTACCTAGCATAGCAAAAAATTGAAAGCTTTTTGGAGTTCTCTTTGTATTATGTGCCAGTCTCTAAATTTCTGGGATTATTTTGGGGGGAAGGTGTTGGCCTTGTGCATGTTAGGCCAGTCTCTACTACTGAGCTATGCCCCCAAATTTCTTCTTTTTATATAAACATCAGTCATTTAGGACTAGGGTCCAACCTGATGACCTCCTCCTAACTTAGTTACCTCTATAAAGGCCCAATCTTCAAATAAGGTCACATTCTGAGGCACTAGGGGTTAGGACTTCAATGTCTGAATTTTGAGGGACATGATTGAGTTTGCTCGCAGTATTTCAGTGTATAACTTTATTTCCTGACTTGTTAAGGAGGATATAAAATCCTTGGTATCCAGGTGGCACAGGACTGTTATCTCAGCTACTTTTTGTTTTTTGGTTCTGGGGATTGAACCCAGAGGTATTTTACCACTGAATTACATCCCTAACCCTCTTTTATCTATCTATCTATCTATCTATCTATCTATCTATCTATCTATCTATAATGGTATTGAACCAGGGATGCTTAACCACTGAGCTGTACTCCCAGCAACATTTACTTTTTATTTTGAGACAGGGTTTTGCTAAGTTATTTAGAGCCTCTCCAAGATGCTGAAGATGGTTTCGAACTTGTGATCTTCCTGCCAATTTCAGCTACTTTGAAAGCTGAGAGAAGGCTAGCCTGGGCAACTTAGTAAGACCCTGTCTCAACATAAAAATTTTTAAAAAGGGCTGGGGATATGTTTGTAGCTTAGTTGTAGAGTACTTCCTTGTACTTGGCTCTGAGTTCAATACCCACTACTGAAAGCAAATCAAAACGAAACAGTGGCATCCAGTAAGCACTTGATTTTCTCTATGGTGTCTTAAGTAAAATCAATTGAAAAGCATCTTCCTTATATTGTTCTATTGTCCTTCCTTATGTTGTTCTATTGTTTGCATGTACAAATATATAATAACAAATCCCACAATTATATATATTTTATAATGCAAAAATAAAAATAAAGATTTTTTTAAATGTTCTAACTTGAATTTCTAGTAATCCTTGTTTTTATATATTCACAAATTTGAACTTTAATAACATATCACATTTTTCTTTTTATCTTACCCGGATTTTACTAATTAAATTGAAGTTAGACATAAACATAAGGGAACTTTATAAGATGAAGCCATTTAAGCCCGACGTGGTGGCACATGCCTGTAATCTCAGTGGCTTGGGAGGCTGAGGAAGGAGGATTGTGAGTTCAAAGCCAGCCTCAGCAAAAGCATGGCGCTAAGCAACTCAGTGAGGCCCTGTCTCTAAATAAAATACAAAATAGGGCTGGGGATGTGGCTCAGTGATTGATTGCCCCAAATTCAATCCCTAGTATCCAGAAAAACAAAGATTAAGCCATTTAAGATGGATTATGCCAACTGGTTGTGATTATGATGGGCACAGTTTAAACAGTATCTTTTTGTGAGTATTTTCTTATCTAATAAAGCATTGAAATTCAATTTCTGTGATATGTTTTTGAGGACTTTCTTTTATCTTCCTTTTTTTCTTTTTAGAATCTAATAAGTGCCTAGTCTTTTTCATGAACAGAAGTTCTTTAAGGGAAGAGCCTAACTTGTTTTAAAAGAAATTTAATTTGATCTTTGTTTACAAATTGTTTCAGCAAGCATTTATTGAACACTGTGCAGGCATTTGACAACTAAATCTTTCAGGCATAGTCTCCCTCAGGGAGGAAAATTGTTTTCTTTTTTTTAACCTTGTGTACTTAAAAAATTGAAAACTATGAGCTGGGGATATAGCTCGGTTGGCAGAGTGCTTGCCTCACATGCACAAGGCCCTGAGTTCAATCCCCAGCAAACACACACAAAAAATTGAAAACTACTCTGTGGGGTGCAGTGGCACACACCTGAAATCCCAGTGACTCAGAGGCTGAGACAGGTGAATGGCAAATTCAAAGTCAACTTTGGCAACTTAGCCAGACCCTATCTCAAAATAAAATATAAAAAAGGGCTAGGGATGTAGCCTAATGGTTAAGTACCCTGGGTTCAATCTTTGGTACCATACCAGAAAAATAAAACAACCTTAAATTCTCAAGTGTGACAGTTACATCAGAGGCAAAGAGTACTGTATACTAGAATTTTATCCTTATTTTTACAGTCTTAATATAAAGTCATCTAAAATTCTCCAATCCATTTTGGAAAAAGTCAAGACATAAAATGTAAAGACATCAACTCCCTTTTACTAATAATACTCAATAGCTGATATTACCTCATGCTCCTGTGGGGTTCTTTTTTTGTTTTTCTTTTTGTACTATGGATTGAACCCAGGGGCGCTTAACCACTGAGCCACATCCCCAGCCCTGTTTTATTTTTTATTTAGTATCAGGATCTCACTGAGTTGCTTAATGCCTTCCTAAGTTGCTGTGGCTGGCTTGAACTTGCTATCCTCCTGCCTCAACCTCTGAGTAGCTGGGATTACAGCTGTGTGCCACCCAGCTCATGCTCCTATTTTGAATGGGAGGAATGTTAAGTAAAATTTAGTCCCAGTTCCAGGAAAACTTGCTTTTTGCTTGTTCATTGATTGAATTTCAAAATACCTTGAGCTTTTCTCACTAGAGGAAAACATCTACATAAATATTAAATGGAAGAATTATACTAACAATTTTGCTTAAAAGATTGACTATTATTCCATTATTCTAAGATACTGGTTTTCTTCTTAAACTAGCTTTCCGAATTTCCATCATTTTCCATGATGGTATCAAAATAGTCACCATGACATAGTTTTAAGAGTTAATTTTCACGTTGTCTTATTTTTCCATCCAATTAGACCTCTAATCCTATTAATTTTTCCTTGACAACATCTTCTCTGTTTTCAGTGCCACTTCCTTCTTTTGTCCCTTGGGTCCAAATTACAAAGGTAATGTCCTAACAGATTTCCTATCTCTTCCAGTTTTATCTGACTTCCACAATCAACATCAATATATATATAAAATCCAGGATTGAACCCAGGGGTGCTTAACCACTGAGCCACATCCCCAGCCCTTTTTTATATATTAGAGACAGTGTCTCACTGAGTTGCTTAGGGCCTCTCTAATTTGCTGAGGCTGGCTTCGAACTCATGGTCTTCCTGCCTAAGCCTCCCGAGTTGCTAAGATTACAGAGATCAAGATAACTTTTCTTTTTCTTTCTTTTTTTTTTTTTTTTGTGGTGCTGGGGGTTGAACCCAGGGCCTTGTATATGCAAGGCAAGCACTCTACCAACTGAGCCCAGCCCCTCAAGATAACTTTTCTAAAACATTATTTTTTACATATTTTCTCTACTACACAAAAGTAACACTGCTTTCCCATTAACTGTTAATAATAGAATTAGGGCTGGGGATATAACTCAGTTGGTAGAGTGCTTGCCTCACATGCACAAGGCCCTGGGTTCAATCCTCATGCACCACACACACAAAAAAAATAGATTAAGAATAACTGATTTGTATTGAGCACTAACTACGTGATAGGCACTATGTTGAGAACTTATCAAGAACATTAGTATTCTCATTATTATCATCTTTATATAGATGAAGAAACCAAGGCTTAGGTTATATCTATGGTTACACAGGTAGTGAGTTACAGATTCTAGGAATCTGGGATTCTAATCAGTTCTTTTTGGCTCCAAAGTCTTTGGGCCTAACAACTATTCTTTTTTACCCAAACTCTTTATGTTCAAACTCTTCAGTTGTTTAAGATCCCATAAATCTGATTCTGTCTTACCTCTCAGTTTTATCTTTTCATTATTCTAACATACAAACTCTGTTCATCAAGCTAGAGTCAACTATCTGTAAATTGCCATATTCTTTTCTTCCTCTAATCTTTTGTTCATATGGTACCTTCAGTTTGGAATATTCTTCCCTCCACTCTCTGCTTGTCCATATTTGAGCATCTTTAAAGGCCTAGGTCAAATTTTGTTCTTTTCATACAACTCATTGTTGAGAGCCACAGCCGAAGGGGCCCCAGCAAACTTTCAGACTGCCAGCTGATGATTGGCTCACAGCACCCCAGCAACATCTAGCTGATTGGCTCCTCTGCAGCGATGCTCATTGGGCTGTTTCCCCGCCCTTTCAGACTGCCAGCTGATGATTGGCTCACAGTGGCCCCAGCAACATCTAGCTGATTTGTCCCGTCCGGCAGGACACATCAACGTGGGCAGCGAACCTAGATGGGGAGGAATGAAGGGACAAGAGACACGAAAGGATGACAGCAAGACAAAAGTTCTGATCAAGCTGCCAACTTTTATTGTTCACACAGGGGTATTTATATGGTGGGAATGGGGAAGCTCTCTTATCGGCAGTTGCTGGATGTCTGCACAAGGTGAGATAACCGCAGGATGTTTCAGGAAGATAGGTTTCAGGAAGATAGGTGGCCTCAGGATGTCTCAGGTGAGATAAGTAGCTGCAGGATGCCTCCCAGGCAGGATGTCTCCCAGGGGGCTGTCAGGCTAATCTTTGAAGGAGAATTTCCTTCTAGTCCCTGACACTGATTGGCTCCTCTGCGGTGATGCTCATTGGGCTGTTTCCCTGCCCTTTCAGACCACGGAGCTGCTCATTGGGGGAGTTTTTTGGCTCCGCCCATGCGACCCAGCCAATAGGCCTCAAGAGCAGGAGGATTGTGGGAGGTGGAGAGGCTTGTGGTTGAGAGAGAGGCTTGTGGGAAGCCGGTGGTGGCAGTTGGGCTCTGAGGGTTTTTCCTGATGAGCGGTTTTATTTGGCGTGTGTGGTTCTAAAAATAAAGTTCCTTTCTTTTGACAAGTGGCTCCTGAATTGTGCCCAGCCAGACTGAGGCAACTCATATTACCACTCTTCTATTATGGACTCCCCAAAACGTATTGTTTATACTGTAAACAACAATCTTTTTTTTTTTTTTTTTGACTCTGGGGTTTAACCCAAGGACAGTCTACAACTGAGCTATATCCCCAGCCTGTTTTTTTTTTCCATTGTTGTTGTTTGTTTGTTTTGACATAGAGTCTCACTAAGTTACTTAGGGCCTCACTGAGGCTAGCCCTTCTGAGGTTGGACTGAACCTTGCAATAGCTTCCCAAGTTGCTGGAATTCCAGGTGTGAGCCATTGTACTGGGGTAAACAACAATCTTGAAACTCTCTGTTTTTTTCTTTCTCTTCTCTCTCTCTCTCTCTCTCTCTCTCTCTCTCACTCACTCTCAGACAGGCCTCACTAAATTGCTGAGACTAGTTTTGAACTTGGGATCCTCCTGCCTCAGCCTCCTGAGCTGCTGGGATTACAGTCATGCGCCACTGCACCCAGCACAGAATGAAAGTTTTTCATCTAATCCTTCCCTGCATATCTGATGTACTGTAATGCACAAGTAATATATCTTTGTGTGGTAGTTTGTGTAACAATGAAGAATGCAGAACAATTTACTTATATGGAGATTTGTTTATACTGTAGCTCTTCTATAGCCCCATGAGTAATAATATAGATGTATCCAAATGAAATTTTGAAATTTTCAATCCAAATGAAACTGTTTGAAACCACAGGAACTAGACATTCACTTGACCCTCATCTTCCCACCTTCCAGGAAGAAGGCATGGATGTAGTAAACAAAGAAGCAATGCATGAACGGTGAGTACTGTACTTTCAATTACCACTTTAATAATTTGTATATTCAGTTATATCTTTTCCTTCAGATAGGCAAACTACAGTACTGATTTCTTTTCTTTTGTAGGGAGGTACACACTGCAATACAGATAAGTCAGTCTTGGGAAGAAAGTCTGAACCTGGTATGTTTTACAGTAACACTTTAATTTTGCCCAAACTTTCAAATTTTCTCTATTGTAGTGTTGTGCTATCTAGTTTCACTGTAATTTCTGAAAATATCAGCTCTTGTTTGATATTTAAGCAGTATCTTTTCCATAAATAACTTGAATTATCTTAAGAAACAGCTTATGATCTATCCATAAAATAACTATCATTAGGGCTGGAGCTCAGTGGTAGAGTATTTGCCTTGCATGTGTGAGGCACTGGGTTTGATCCTTAGCACCACATAACAATAAATAAATATAGATATTGTGTCCATCTACAACTAAAAGGAATATTTAAAAAATAACTATCATTATTTGAAAGTGGGGTTCAAAGTACATAGTTGTCTGATATAAAACCATAGCTGTTGTAAACCAGCTTCATCTCTGTCCTAGAGAATCTTTAAAAAGTTCAGTTATGCCTGTAATCCCAGCAGCTCAGGAGGCTGAGACAGGAGGATCGCAAGTTCAAAGCCTGCCTCAGCAAAAAGCAAGACACTAAGCAACTCAGTGAGACCCTGTCTCTAAATAAAATACAAAATAGGGCTGGCAATGTGGCTCAGTGATTGAGGGCCCGAGAGTTCAATCCTCAATTTAAAAAAAGTTCAGTTTTACTAAAATGCTTAGATTACAAAACGATAAATGATTTTACTTCCTTCTACATCATTTACTAACTATATATCAGTTTTAAGCTATAGGCAATGGATTTATGAAAAATTATTGCATTTTTATGTCTGTAAAACAGACATATAGTTCTGTTAACATTTTAACATACAACCTTTAATTTAAACATATTAAGAATATAGTTATATCCCTTGTTCACATTTTTAATGTCTCTATACATCATGATTGCTTAGTTATGGTAGTTGGTTGATATTTAGTGTTTTTTTATGTGGACATTTCAGATAATGAGATAATAAGAATTGAACTGAAACTTGAGCGGGAGAGATTCTGGTTAATTCCAATTTCCAGATTTTAGAGTTGTTAAATCAGGAAATGGGTCATCAACAGAAGACATCTTTTCCTTTGAGCTCTGAGTACCTTAGATGGGCATCTGACCGTGATTTTGGAATAGATTCTGAAGAATGAATAGATAGATACCTTTTGGAGGATTGTCCCTGTTCACATTTTGTTTCTAATAACAATTTATAGATGTTATTGGAGTCCTTTAGCTGGCCAAATTCTAATTACTTTAGGTTTTGGCATGAGTAAGTGATTAAGAGATTCTCCAAGTATTATAGGAGGAGAAAGGGAATGTGTAATATATAAGTTTAACTCACATTGTGTTTTAGAAAAGTGCCTATTTTAAAACCCTCAATTATGTAGTACTGATTTTGTACACATAAAATTTGTAAACTTTTTTTTTAATAGATCCTGCTGTCCCATTTGTGTCTTAGTTCTAGCTAAATCCGTTTTGGTCCTTTTCTGGACATAGCATTATAGTTTTTGGTAGCAAAGGATAGGTCAAATCCAAAAAGGAAAGCTGAATTTAGATTTTGTGTATATAGTATGTATTTCTTAATATTGAGTACTCATGTTCTAAGTTTTCTGGGGTGCTAAGGAAGCCCCTTAACCACTACAGAGCTCTCTCCTCTAAGAGGCAAAGGGAAGCTTTGCTTATTGAAGTAAACCATAGATTCCCTGCTTGCTTTATCATGATGAGTGCTCTCTACATGAAGTCAGGCTCAGTAGTAAGGGTTCTCTTTCCCATGCAACAGCTATCTCCAGAAGTATTTGATTAATAAGTAATTGGTGCTACAATTATCCACTGCTTTCTGCTTTCACAGAATGACGATGATCTGGACACACCATCCACTGTAAAGAGCATTGATCTAATCCCAGTATCCCAAGCAGCTTCTCTCACTAAATGGATTGGGAAGGTAAGTAAGGAGTGCCTTAAAGTCTATGCTCTTGGAAATACTAGTAGTTACCCAATCAAAAACCTCTGAGGGCTGGGCATTGTGGCACATGCCTGTAATACCAGTGACTCAGGAGGCTGAGGCAGAAGGATTACAATTTCAAAGCCAGCCTCAGCAACTTAGTGAGGCCCTAAGCAACTTAGGGAGACCCTGTTTCTAAATAAAACATAAAAAGGGCTAGGGATGTGGGTCAGTAGTTAAGCACCCCTGGGTTTAATCCCTAGTACAAAAAAAATCTCTGAGGGAGTATATTTTGCTATGGTATAAATGATGGTCAGTGACACTTTTCTCTTTCTTGTTTTTTAATATTTTTTTTTTTAGTTTCAATAGACCTTTATTTGTTTATTTTTATACGGTATTGAGAATCGAACCCAGTGCCTCACATATGTTAGACAAGTGCTCTACCACTGGGCCACAACCCCAACCCTCTTTTTCATTTCTTAAAATATTATTTATATACAATACAATTCACCAACTTTTAAGTATATGGTTAATTTTGGTAATTATCTATAGCTTCATAACCACAACCACAATCAAGGTATAGAAGAGTTCCCACAGTGTAAATAATGTCCTCATGATCTTTTGCACTGTCTTCCTCCCCATCACTCTTCCTGCCCTAGGAAACCACTGACCTTTCTGACAAAAGTGATGGTTTTAAAACCTCTGTTCCAGTTTGGTTTTAGCAATGTTTTTCTCCATCATTATAAACTTGTGTGAATTACACCAGTTTGCTTCTAAATCCTATTCCCAGTCCCTCAGTATGAGTTTTGATGTAAGTTTAGTTGTCTGAAAATAACCACATTACTTATAAAATAAGAATTTTAGAAACTTAAAAGAAATTTTAGCTCCAGGTTCTATGACAACCAAAGAAGTGGTTTCTTTTTAGTGAAATGGAAATGTCATTTGTTTGGATTTATACACTGAAAAAAAAAAACCCAAGTGACAAAGAACATGTGAAAATAAAGAAAATATTCAACAATTCATTAATCCTATTTGACCATAATCTTCCTTTGACTGATCTTGTTCATAAGTGTTGGTTAGCTCTAGTACTTTTAAAAAAGTTTTTTATAGTTGTACATGGACAGCATGCCTTTATTTATTTTTTAAATTTTTGTTGTAGATGGACACAATACCTTTATTTTATTTATTTATTTTTTTAAAGAGAAAGAGAGAGACAGACAGAGAGAGAGAGAGAGAGAGAGAGAGAGAAAATTTTTTAATATTTATTTTTTAGTTTTCGGTGGACACAACATCTTTATTTTTATTTTTACATGGTGCTGAGGATCGAACCCAGTGCCTCACACGTACTAGGCATGCACTCTGCCACTGAGCTACACAGCCCAGCCCTATCTCTAGTACTTTAAAGAACTTCTTCATCCACAATTCTCAACTTGATTCAAGGCATGTCCCAACCTGGACTTGCTGGTTCTTCTACACTGTAGGTTCTAAAATCCTAAATCTTGGTGAATTAGAAGACAATTTGCTTCTGATGTGTTTCTAGATTTATTCACATTTACAGAAAAGCAATAAAATGATGTGTTATCACATAGTATTCAGAGTTCTTTTTAGTGTATTATATTTAGATCTGTTATAATGAAGTAATCATTGATTATTTTCCAGATTTTTTTCTAATGATCATGATGGTTTTATTTTAGAAGTCACAGGCCCACCAGCACTGTTAAAATAACTATCCTTGGACCAAAAAAAGAAAAGGTACTTTTATCTTCTCTCAGAAATAAATATAACTTTTGCTCATTTTTTATAAAATAACTAAAACAATAAAAATTGTTTTTAAAGGATTTATTTATTGAAAATGTATTTGAAAAGTTACTATAGCTCTTCTATTTTACCCAGATGGAAATACTTATAAAGACATTGAAAACTATAAAGTACTATATAAATGTGAATTGAGGAATTTAATTCTAGTTTAGTTGACTGTTATGATTTTTTATGAGCCTGGGGCGCCTAACCACTGAGCCACATCCCCAGCTCCTTTTTATATTTTATTTAGAGACAGGGTCTTGATAAGTTGCTTAGAATCTTTTTAAAAAAATATTTTAGTTGTAGATTGTCACAATACCTTTATTTCATTTATTTTTATGTGGTGCTGAGGATCAAACCCAGGGACTTGCATGTGCTAGGTGAACACTTTACCACTGGGCCACAGCCCCAGCCCCACTTAGAATCTGGCTAAATTGCTGAGGCTGGCTTTAACTTGCGATACTCCTGCCGTAGTCTCCCAAGCCACTAGGATTACAGGCATGCGCTATCACATCTGGCCTGGCTGTTAAGATTTTCATTAAATAAGTATGATTTATGAAGCTGGCTGCCTTAAATATTTTCTAAAATTAGGTAGGGAGTGAATGAATGAAGGAAGGAAGGAAGGAAAGAATGAATGAATGAACAAACGAACAGAGTGAGGCAGTCATCAAGTATTTTTCTGAATCTCAACTCATGTCCCACTACTGCACATATACACATTGATATCATATGAATAAGTTAACACAACTTATGTCTACTTGAACAATAACAATATATGTGAAGGAATAGGTTCTTTTTGATTAAGTATATGGAAAGCCACCTACCTACTCAATAGTAAAAGAACAGTTGAATGAACAGAAGTATCCATTCTTTTTTTTTTTTTTTTTTTAAAATATGTTTTTAGTTGTAGTTGCACACAATATCTTTATTTTTTATTTTTATTTTTTATGTGGTTCTGAGGATCGAACCCAGTGGTTCGCACATGCTAGGCAAACACTCTGCCACTAAGCTACAACCCCAGCCTCAGAAGTATCTTTTCTTAAACTCCATACAACTAGATCCTGCTTCTCGGTGCTACCTCAATAAATTATGCTTTTGTTCCTTTCTAAATACCATTATTGAATTATATATTTGGAACAAAGTCTAACTACAGTGGGGAGGGGCATATCGGTAAATGGAAAGGAGATAAAGCTTAAAAGTGTATAATTGTGAAAAACCCATCATGATGAGAAAGAGGATGAAGAAATGATAGGGAAAGAAGTTGAAATATATGTGACTTTTTTGGAGGGAGGGATTATCAAGGATTGAACCCAGGGGCGCTTAACCGCTGAGTCACATCCCCAGCCCTTTTTATAGTTTGAGACAGGGTCTCACTAAGTTGCTTAGGGTCTCTCTAAGTTGGTGAGGCAGGCTTTGAACTCACAATCCTCCTGCTTCAGCCTCCTGAGCCACTGGGATAATAGGCATGTGCCACTATGCCCAGCAAAATATATGATTTGTGTATTTAGGATTAATTAATGGAAATATCACTAACAATGTACTTAACTCAGAATGTACTTTTTATATTTTAAGACTAAGACTAGGTTAATTCTGGAAAATTCTCATTTCCAAACTAAGTACATTGTTTTGTGAAGATGCATCAATAACTAAGGGATCATTTGCTTGTGCTGTGAAGCTTGGGCTGGTGTTGAAAATCATTCAAATATATCAGCAGTTAAGACCTGATAGGAAGTTGGCTTCTTTGAATATTTAAAATGAAGTGTGCTTAGGGATGGGGATATGGCTCGGTGATAGGGTACTTGCCTACAATGAGTGAGGCCCTTGATTCCATCCCTAGCATTGCAGAAAAATTAAGTATGCTTAAATTGAAAATAGTGCTTGGGCTGGGGCTATATAGCTCAGTGGCAGAGCATTTGCCTAGCATGTGTGAGGCACTGGGTTCGATTCTCAGCAAAATAAATAAAGCTATTATGTCCATTTACAACTAAAAAAATATTAAAAGAAAGAAAACAATGCTTTATCAACTTAAAACAGTTTTTCCTTTTATAAGATATTTATATGTAAAACATTTTTATCACATTGAAAGTGCTTGGAGTTTTCTTAGAATTTATCATTTAAAAATTGTTTAGGGAAATGTGGGGATGTGGCTCAGTGGTACACCCCATGCCTAGCATGCATGAGGCCCTATGTTCTACACCCAGTACTGTAAAAAATATATATATATGGTTTGGGGAAGGCAGTATAGCACAGTAGTAGAGTGCTTGCCTAGCATGTGCAAGGTCCTGGGTTTGATCCTTAGCACCACCCAAAAAAGTTGTTTTTATTGTTCAATTTTAACATAATGGATTTGGTCTCTACTCAGTATCTTAGTAGATGTGTAACATCTACTATCTACTGTGACATCGGTTGCTCTGGGGGACATCTGCTTTTTTCTTTTAGGTGTACCTAAGGGAACTCCAAAGCAAATTCTGTGTATACCACCTAGTCTATATTTTATGTCAAACCCTCCCAAGCATACCCTACACAGCTCTAGTAAAAATTCATCTGGACCTTCTTGGCCAAATACAATAACAGATAAATCTAATCTTATTTGTATATTTTGAAATATGAATATTCACTAGGAAACAACCACCTATGTCCTATTTAGAGTCCATTAGCCCAAATGAAACAAGGGGAAAGATGGTATAAAAATAGAAATGAGGTCCTGGTGGCAGGCGTAGGGGTCAAGTAGGGATGTGTGTGTGGTGATGCTAAAAAGAATGAGGACTCTGCCAGGTGGGCATGGTGGCACAGGCCTATAACCCCAGCAATTTAGGAGGCTGAGGCAGGCCCCCTAACAACTTAAGTTCACGGCAAGCCTAACAATTTAGCAAGATCCTCAAGCAACTTAGAGAGACCCTGTCTCAAAAAACAAAAAGGACAGGGAAGTGGCTCAGTGGTAAAGCACTTCTGGGTTCAATCCTCAGTTCCTCAGTACCCTCCCTCAAAAGAATGAGGACTCTATAAAGTGAAGGAATGTGAAATAAAGATCAGAGTCTCTAAGCAAATGAAGGCATATTGTATGTGATAAGTAACAGTTACTTCCATTAGGAGTAAGCAAGAACAAATAAGTGTTCAAGTAGGAAATGTAAGAACTTTGTAAAAATTATGCAGAGTAAATGATTTTTAAAGTAATGATGGTTTTAGCAAATAGTTTTTCTTCTTTCTTTTCTTTTCTTTCTTTCTTTCCAGGGATTGAACCCAGGGGCACTTAACCACTAAACCACATCCCTGCCCTTTTTTTAAATTTTGAGACAGGGCCTCACTAAATTGCTAAGGCTAACTTTGAACTTGGGATCCTCCTGCCTCAGCCTCCCTAGCCACTGTGATTACAGGCTTGTACCACTGTGCCCTGCTTAATTTTCTTTTATGAGGAATTTTTTGTCATGTTTTTAATTTTTAAAAAAAAGGACAGATGAGTTTTTCTGTTGTTAGTTTTTTTTTTTTTTTTAATTCCCTTGTAAGTGTAATCTGGCCATGGGATAGGATGCCAGACTTCTTCTGAGCTTTATGAACCATTATTATACTCCCAAGGAACTTCTATGGAATCTCTATCTCTAGGATGATGATGATGATGATGATAATGATGATGATTTCAGTACTGGGGATTGAACCCAGAGGCCCTTTACCACTGAGCTACATCCCCAGCCCTTTTTATTTTTTAAATTTGAGATAGGCTCTCACTAAGTAGCAAAGACTGGCCTCCAACTTTTGATCCTTCTGCCTGAGTGCCCCCCCCCAGTTGATCACAGGTTGTGCCACCACAACTAGTACTATTTTTTAAAATGATGGTCCTAGTGTTTTGTTTTGTTTGTTTGTTTGTTTTTGGTACCAGGGATTGAACCCAGGGGTGCTTAAGCCCTGAGCCACATCCCTAGCCCATTTTATTTTTTATTTTGAGGCAAAGTCTCTTTGATTTGCTGAGGCTGGCCTCCAACTTGTGAACTTCCTGCTTCAGCCTCCTGAGTCACTGGGATTACCAGTGTGTCCACCATACCTGGTCATAGTGTTAAAAAAATAGTCCACCCTAGAAGACATAGGCTTGAATGTCAGTTTTTCTCTTGGCCAGACATTGTTATCATATGAATATGAAACACTATGCAGATTTTAACATTTACTTCAAGGAAAAGATTATAGCAGTGTTCTTTTTTGATATCATATGGTTCTCCTTAATCTTTGAATATATATATATATATATATATATATATATATATATATATATATATAAAAATGTGTGTGTGTATGTGTAGTTCATTGTGTGCTATAAAAGAATTTACCAAAAAAATTATCTCTTTACTATTTAGTTCATCACATATGTTTAGCAAATAAAGATAACAACAACCTACAAGTTTAAAATAAGGAATGGAATTAAACTCATTCAACAGCCATACTAGTTATATAAAATCATGTTATAGAATTTATTTAGTAATAAAACAAAATGATAATAATTAAAAAGAAAAAGTAGAGTAAAAACCATTATATATAGTACAAATCCAAGTTTGTTTAAAAAAAACAGTCATGAAGGCTGGGGATGTGGCTCAAGCGGTAGCGCGCTCGCCTGGCATGCATGAGGCCCGGGTTTGATCCTCAGCACCACATACAAACAAAGATGTTGTGTCCGCCGAGAACTAAAAAATAAATATTAAAATTCTCTCTCTCTCTCTCTCTAAAAAAAAGTCATGTACACACACATATTCAGGGTTTGTTGAAGATTGATTATCTCTGGATAAGAATGACTTAAGAATTTTTTTTCTTTATATTTTTATATAAATTATATTTTTTACCAATTATATATTTTTTTACAAATTAGTTGCAATAAACAAGTATTACCTTTGCAATTAAAAGCATAATAAGCCAGTTAAATAAGAAATATCTATCTTGATCTGCCATTTTGTCTTAGGTAAAATACCACTTGATGATCAGCCAAGACACTGCCAACATACATCCTGTGACACTTCCCAGCTGTCAGTAAAGACTGTGTGGTGAGTATCAACATGGGTTTTTTAACATTCACTGGCCATTTTTCACTTAGCTCTTAAGTCTACTTTGGCCATTAGGTATACTTAGAAGTATGGCTCATTCTATAAATTATAAAACTAGTATCCCAAATGTATGCTATCAACCTCAGTTCTTTTTTCTAACGTGTGTGATATTCATATGTAGTGGATTCATTTTTAGAATGGAGGTTTTAGCATTAGATGATAAGGTATTAGAGAAATACATAAAAATGCATGCTTAGAGCTGGCAGTATATTTCAGTTGCATAGCATATGCTTAGCATGCCTGAGGTCCTGGGTTCAATCCCCAGCACTGAAACAGTAATAATAATTATTTTAAAATAAAGTAAAGTATGCTTAGAAAAAAAGTCATTTTCTGCCTATCTTGTCAACCTTGGATTTTTGTCTGCTTTGTTGATTGAAAGTATTTTTGAAAAGTATGCCTAAGAAAGCATGTTTTAATAATTACAATGGGAAATAAAGGAATGAATTTTTATTTATTGGAACTATTGATGTAGGAGGTTTTTTTTTTATTGTTGTTTGTTTGTTTGTTTTTAGGGGGAATACTGTTGGTTTTGTGATACTATTCTTGTGAAACAGCCCTCGGTCTAGTTCCAGTTGTTTATGTCACATATTTGGCATTCCTATGTAGACAAAGCAGAGTGCACAGAGTGACATCTTGAATTTGGTTATGAATGAGTAGCATTTTCTTCTCTTAGTCTGTCTCTGGATATTCCTGATGAAAGCAACAGCAGTGCTGGATCTTCTTCCTGTAATTAATCAGCTAAAATCAGCATAAACTCCCCTGTGTCACCTTCTGATAGTGGTTCTCCTTTTTTAAAAAAATATTTATTTTTTAGTTATAGGTGGACACAACACCTTTATTTTATTTTATTTGGTACTGAGGATCAAACTCAGTGCTTCACATGTGCTAGGCAAGTGCTCTACCACTGAGCCACAAACCCAGCCCTGGTTTTCCTTTTATTCATGTAGATTTCAACTAAGAACCAAGACCTTCTTATCATTACACACACACACACACACACACACACGCATGCACGCATGCACCAAACTAAGTCAGAGCAATAACAGAATGGTACAATTTAGACTATGTCCTATTTATCTTTTTTCCCTAAAATAAAATCCTAAAATTCTGTGTATCTATAGAATTTGTATATATATTTCTGTTCACGGCCTTCACAGTTCAATGTAGTGATATTTTCAAAGATATTTTCCAACTAAAACTATGTTGAAGATACAGTCATACATCTATAAGCTGCAATGTCTAGAAAATGCTGTACAATGACTTTTGTTAAAAATTGAGAGCTCTGCCGTGTGCAGTGGCACACACCTGTAATCCCAGCAGCTTGGGAGGCTGAGGCAGCAGGATTGTGAGTTCAAAGCCAGCCTCAGCAAAAGTGGGGTGCTAAGCAACTCAGTGAGACCCTGTATCTAATAAAATACAAAATTGGGCTGGGGACATGTCTCAGTGGTGGAGTGCCCCTGAGTTCAATCCCTGGAATGCAAAAAAAAAAAAAAAAAAAGAGAGCTCTGTTTATTTTTAGGAATTAAAAGGAAATGACATAAACATCTAAAACTATAAGGTCTAATGAAATGTAATTGTTCAATTAACCAACAAGATAAAACTATTTTTAAAAATTACTAGTTTTTAAAATATTTTCAGTACTTGTTAGTTTCCATCTACTAAGGAAAAGTTACCTATCACAAGCAATTTTTGAAACTAAGCCAGTTGTACCATACTGACGTAAGGATTGACTATTTTGCACATGAATCCTTGGGTGTTTAATTTGTTGGAATTAGTAGGGAAGAACAAGATGAATAAAAGCTAATTGAATGGAAAGAAAATAATATATAATTGGAGCTTCACTCAATTTGTACTCAACCTGATTAGCCTTGATCAATTTTGCATTCTAATTAAATCCAGAAAAAAAGACAATGTTGATAAATTGTAGTCTTTTACATTTTTATGAATTACCTTTCATTCATCAGCATGACTACTGATTTGATTAAATACAAGCTTAATATATTAGGGCTTTTCTGAAAGAATCATGTGCTTCCAGTTGTTCCCTACAGGCTATAAATATCTGTTTAAGCCTCAATTTTCTAGTTGGAAGTCTTATGAGTTTTTTAAGTAGGAAAAAAATCATTTGTTAAAAATTTAAATCTGTGCCAAGCACAGTAGTGCCTGTAGCGGCCTGTAATCCCAACAACTTGAGAGACTGAGGCAGGAGGATTGCAGGATATAGACCAGCCTCAACAACTTAGCAAGACCCTGTCTCAAAATAAAATAAAAAGGGGTTGGGCTGAAGGTCAGTGGTAGAGCATCCCTGAGTTAAATTCCCGTATCTCTCTCTCTCTCTCTCTCTCTCTCTCACACACACACACACACACACACACACACAAATTAAATCTAAAGTAAGCACTTTAAGTAATTGTGCATTTTAAAAAATAGAAATGTGTCAGGTGCAGTGGCTCATGCCTATAGTCCCAGTGGCTCAGGAGGCTGGGACAGGAGGATCTCGAGTTCAAAGCCAGCCTCAGCAAAAGCAAGGTGCTAAGCAACTCAGTGAGAACCTGTCTCTAAATAAAATACAAAATAGGGCTGGGGATGTGGTTCAGTGGCTAAGTGCCTCTAGGTTCAGTAATCCCCCCAAAAAAAGAAAAAAAAAACAACGTATCCTATCCTGAAGAAATGAAGTTGAGAATTGGTTTAAATTACTTCAGCTAACAAAACAAGAGCAGTTATCTAAAATATTAACAGAAGTCTTTTCCTCATCATTGGAAATAATCACAATGTTGAATTCTGATACAGTTATGCCCAAACATAAAAAAATGGTTGGAGCACTAAGAAGTTTTGGAAAATTGCCCCACAGGAATTATTCAGAGTAGAAGCAATCAAATATTTAAAGATGTGGGGGATCATGATGGTCTCCTGAAACTGAGATAGGATTCTATGAATTGACTAATGACAAGCGTATAAATATTGTCATTGTTACTTGGCTTCTTTACTTGCCAGACCTTTAGTGCTCCATTTTTTGGTGCACTAAAGGTCTGGCAAGTAAACACATGAGGGTCCCCTCATGGAATGAGGTATAATTGCAGTGATATTTGTTGCTGAAATTGTAGATGATTGACAGCCAGGAAGGTACACACACATTATTGACATTTGAACCAAAAAGAGTTTTGCAGTATTAAGATTGCAGAGTTTGAGAACAAAGACTAAGGATGGGGAAAGTAAACAATGGGGGTAAGACTACTACTCAGTTGTGTAAGGAACTTTCATCAGTAAATCTTGGTCCTTTTTAAAAATATTTTTTTAGTTGTCGATGGATACTGCACCTGTATTTAATTTATGTGATGCTAAGAATTGAACCCAGTGCCTCACACATGCTAGGCAAGCACTCTACAACTGAGCCACACCCCCAGCCTAACTCTTGGTACTCTTGACTATCTCAATACACTTTGCTCAACTTAGACAATTTCTTACTTTGTTCAATTAGTATTATTTTAATTGTTTATCAGGAAATCACATCTCTTTCTATAACATGCTCAAAACCAAAGATTTTGTAGTTGGTGCTCCATTCTGTTGACTTTGACTTTGTATGTTGGGAGGAGGATTCATTTCTTTTTGTGGGGAGTGGATACTGGGGAGTGAACCCAGGGATATTTTTACCAATTAGCTACATCCCTGTTAGAGTCTGTAAACAAGTCAAAATAACACCTGGCATTTTGCCAGGGGAATGTTAAGAGTTCGTAAACAAGTCTGGATGGTGCCTGGCAAAATGCCAGAGGGAGTGGTTTGAGAAGTAACAAAAGCGAGCCATTAAGTGTGGAGACTCCTTATTGGTTGACTGATGTATCTAGTTTATGCTAATTAGATAAGCTGTGTGGAATGTATAAATACTGCTCCTGTCCTGCAATAAACGGCTCCCACTCCTGCTGTATCAAGGTATACAAGTTGTTCCTCACCCCCCGGTTATTTTGCTGCAGCCGGACTCCCATCCCAGCCCTTTTTAAAATTTCTATTTTGAGACAGGGTCTCTCTAAGTTGCTGAGGCTGGCCTCAAACTTGCAATTCTCCTGCCTCAGCCTCCCGAGTTGCTAGGATTATAGGCATGTGCCACCATGCCCATTTGGGTAGATTTATTTCTTAAATGATCTTCCATTTATTGATTTTCAGACCAAAACTATGATAACTTTTAAACATGTTTTAAACCACAATTAGGTGGTTTAAAACAATGAAAATTTATTGTCCTATAATTCTGGAGGCTAGAAATCCAATATAAAGTATTGGCAGGGTTGGTTTCTTCTGGAGGCTCTAAGGAAGAATCTGTTCCATGCCCCTGTATGTATTTTCTGGTGCTTGCTAGCAAACCTCGATTTGCAGACAGATATCCAATGTCTGCCATTGTCAACGTGTATGGTTCTATCTGTGTCCCTGTGACTTCACATGGCCTTCTTATAAAGACAACAGTCACTAGATTTAGAGCTGCTCTAATCCAGTATGACTTCCTCTTAATTTAATTACATCTATAAAGTCCCTATTTCCAGATAAGGTCAAATTCACAGGTATTGAGTATTAGGACTTCAACATATCTCTTTAGGGGTACAGTTCAACCCACGGAAGTATAATTTTGCAATTTTGATTTTGCTCATTTCATTTTTCTTAAGTTATTTTAAAAATTGTCCATTAACTCATCTTTAAGGTGTAAGAATAAAAGATCACTATATTGTATATAGTGTTGGCATGTCTTCTGATGCTAATTTTCATTGTCAGTAAAAGGATAAATGAAAGAGAAAATATGTTTTTCAAATATTTTTATTCATTTTTAAAATTATTTTTTTAAATTTATATATGACAGTGGAATGCATAACCATTCTTATTACATGTATACAGAACAATTTTTCATATCTCTGGTTGTATATAAAGTATGTTGACACCTGTTTGTGTCTTCAAACATGTAC